GGGGGATGGACCACACACGGGGGAGCGAGCAGCCAACGGGGGGACAGAGCACCCATGGGGGACAGAGCACCCACGGGGGATGGAGCATCCAACGGGGGGACAGAGCACCCATGGGGGACAGAGCACCCACGGGGGATGGAGCATCCAACGGGGGGACAGAGCACCCACGGGGGACAGAGCACCCACAGGGGAATGGAGCACCCACGGGGGGAGGGAGTACCCACAGGGGAATGGAGCACCCACGGCGGGGGTCAGCACCTACCGGGGGTTTACTGCCCCGGGGGCCAGAGGAAAGGTGTGTCCGTGTGGTTTACACCCGGCCGCCCTCCGCCGGAGAGGTGTCCGTGGGGGTTTGCCACGCGCCGCGGGCCGTCCTGAGTGGAATCGGTGCGGGCGCGGGGCTGCATTTGCCATTGCTGCGCTTTGGGGGGGGGGCAGTGGTAACCAGTGGGCGTTGGATGGTGTGGAAGTGGGGACCCTGTAGTGGCTCGTACCTTGACGCTCGATTCGGGCTAGATCTAAGGAAGAAATTTGTCACGCTGAGGGCGGTGAGACACCGGCACGGGTTGCCCAGAGAGGTGGTGGATGCCCCATCCCTGGAAATGTTCAAGGTCAAGTTCGGGCTCTGAGCAACCTGATCTGGTTGAAGATGTCCCAGCCCATGGCAGGGGGGTCGGACTAGGTGACCTTTAAAGGTCCCTTCCCACCCAAACCAGGCCATGATTTTAAGAGACGCGTCCTGTGGCCAGCATCCCCGTGCAACTCACGGCGGTAGCTGATATTCTGTACGTTGTGGCTCTTTTGTGTCTCTCGAGCCGGTCTCCATCTTCTTGCAGGGCTCGGGACTCTGTCGGAGTAGGTTTGACATTGAAATGACTGAAGGGCTCCTTCCTTTCCAGATTATCAGCTGACGAGCGCCGAGTTGTCTTCGCTGCCAGCATTCAGCTCACCTGGTGGGCTGTCCCTTGGCAACATCTCTGCCTGGCAGCAGCAGCAGCAGCAACAGCAACAGCAGCAACAACAGCAGCAACCGCAGCAGCCGGCGCAGGCACAGCAACAGCAGCAAAC